GTCTGCCAAAAAAAAACCCCCACAAAAAACCCAACACTTGGAGCCCGTCTTCCGGGGACAACGGTCACCATCCAATAGATAAATGAAACTTGTAAAGAGACATCAAAAATAACAACAAAAATGTTTCCATCTTGATGGTTTGTTTGTCTGCTTTGTTAATGGGATAATGAATGGGACAGCCATGAGGGACTTTGTCAGTTAGGGGAAAAAAATCTTTACTGATAAGGAGGTAAAGAAGGAAATTAGGCAATGATGCAGAAAAGTAGGTGCTCGCTGATGTAGTTGTGGACAGGAGAGTCACCTGTAAGAAGACAGCTGGAGGGGAGCAGGAATCAACACTGAACTGAAAACTGGCCTAAGATATTTTGATGCCAAAGCCAGAATATTGCCTTCACTCTCACATTTTATGTACAGAAAATAACATTACAGGTAGCTGAACCATGCTTTAAAGGGGGCAACAGGACAGTTCACTTCAGGGGAAGAAAACTCAATTGATGCATGAAGGACAGACTTTCTTTCTCTCTCTCTCTCTCTCTCTCTCTCTCTCTCACACACACACACACACACACACACACACACACCTTTTCTCCAGCCCTGGCACTCAAGACAATCTTTAAAGATTTAATTAGATGTGAACAGCAATTCTAATATCAGATTATAATCAATCTATCATTTGAATTAAAAGCAATTTAACAGACATACCCTTTAAAAAGCAAGAAACTGCAACATAAACCGTCATTTCCCAAAGGCCTATCAAAACAAACAAAAAAGTCTTTGTCAGCTACTGGAAGGCAACATATTTATTTAAAATAGTCTTGTACCTCTCTTCAATATATGCCATAACACCAAAATACTGAAGTAAAACACGGTTTCATAAAACAGACATTTATATCTGACTTAACAATAAACTAAGTTGCAACTAGAGCTTTAAAAATGTTAATTTTTTGGATAACACCAGATTCTTAAAATCTCAATGTCCTGTGACTTTGGTAGTGTGTATTTTGGGAAGTTTTCATCCAAAAAAGTAACTTACCGAAGATGAGGCTATGATGCCCAGGGAAATGGAAACAGTTTCATAGGAAACGAATCCAGTGCATTACAACCTGCTGAAGGAAACAACTTGAATGAAACAAACAGTTGTGGGGAAACGCTGTGCAACTTTTTCTCCATTCATGCTTTCTTTGACTCAAACAACCCCAATAGCTGTGTAACTATGAATTGATTAAAGAGGTTTAATTGATTTATCACCTGATTTTTAACAAAATCCCTCCTGGATTAATTAGTTTGTATATTACCATTTATTGAAGCTTTATCTCATATATATATCTCCTTCCACAACCTTATATGAAGATGACCGGAATTCTACTTGGGAATCATACAATCATGAGGGATTGAAGGAGTGGGAAATTGGGGAGATTGTTCTTAAGAAGAATTCTGTTCTGCAGATGCAATTTACTTTCAATCCTCAAATGTCTTGCACTGCACTGCAATGTTAAACTTCCACTGAGCATTTAAAAATAGGGTTCACAGGCAAAGAAAAAGGGGAAGCAAAGTTACACAACAAATAGAAGTCTCCAAGCTGTGAATGATTCCCAATGCTTCATTCTCTGTTTGAAATACAGCTCATAAAACTATAGCATATGGTGAACCACTGAAGCTAAATGGTGGAAGTTTAAGATAAAATCAACTGCTTCTACACACAATGCTTAGTAGCATATGGAGTTTGCATTAAAAGATGCTAAATTTGATGGCTTTAAAAGGTGACCAAGCAAAATGACATAGGACTAGGCTATTAGATGCCACTAGCAATGGCAGATATATATTGGTCTGATGCAGACCTTTCTTACAACCTTTTGAAGGCACAGTGTGTGCTCTATCACTAAGCCGTAGCCCTTCTATTGTTTGGCTGGAACACTTTTCAGTATTTTCAATGTTGGAAGTTAGACTGATGAATGTTGCACCTTAGCGACAAGTGCAAATGCCCCACCAAACCCACTTTAGAAGCTATGTCTCACTGTAGTACAACTCACTGACATGAGAAGATTGCACTTCAGTTGCTAGCACCCAAGAATTTCTTCATTTGGTCTGACTGTGTTTGATTCTAAGATGGGTCCAGGGGTCAAATCAGCAGATAGGTCATAGCTATGCCATAACAGCTCCATCTCCTATGCAGAATTGCAGCCATTGTTTAAATAGTGAAAGTGTAATGGAGTCTAAGGGAAGGCTGAGCGAAGGTAGATGTTTTTGAACTGTGGTGCTGGAGGAAAGTTCTGAGAGTGCCTTGGATAGCGAGAAGATCCAATCAGTCCATACTTCAAGAAATAAAGCCTGACTGCTCATTGGAGGGAAGAATAGTAAAGGCCAAAATGAAGTACTTTGGCCACATCATGAGAAGAAAGGAAAGCTTAGAGAAGACAATGATGCTGGGGAAAATGGAAGGAAAAAGGAAGAGGGGCCGACCAAGGGCAAGATGGATGGATGGTATCCTTGAAGTGACTGGATTGACCTTGAAGGAGCTGGGGGTGGTGACAACCGACAGGGAGCTCTGGCGTGGACTGGTCCATGAAGTCACAAAGAGTCGGAAGCGACTGAATGAATGAACAACAACAAAATGGATTTTATGCATTGGATAATAAAATGTTATTAAAAGTTGGCATATAACTAAACTGATGCTGATGATGAAAACGGTTTAAACATTTTTCATGACTAACATTGTAATTTGCTGGAGGTCTGTTAGCTCATGTTTCAGGTGACAATAATAGATCCAGATGATTGTTAGTTCATGCTCCTACCCTCTGAGTACCACAGCTTTATGTGTGCTACTTATCATTTTAATTAGAGACATATTTTCATAATTTCCAAGGGATATTACATAGAGACTGCAACCGATAATTGTTGTTTAGCTGAAGTAATTCCACAATGTGTTTAAGAGGATCATTGAAGCATCTCATAATTAATATACAGTTTGAGTATCCCTTATTCAAAATACTTTGGATGCAAGGTATTTATAATTTTGGATTTTTTTTGGATTATGGAATATTTGTATTTTCATATAACTAATGAGGTATCTTAGAGATGAGACCCAAGTTTAAATACAACTTACATTGATGTTTCATATGTGAGTTATAGATATTGTCTGAAGTTGATTTTGTACTATTTTTAAATAATTTTGTGCATGAAACACACTAGAGAAAAAATCCAGTTAAAACCAGGCTTCTGCCTCTTGCAGAATTCTGGAATTTGTAGTTTAGGGAGCCTTTAACAGCCTCACTAAACTACAAACCCCAGAATTCTGCAGGAGGCAAAAACCACATTTTAAGTGGATTTTTTCTCTAGTGTGATGAAGTGGAAAGTTGGTGTACGTTAAACTACCAGAAGGCAAAGGTGCCACTAGCTTAGCCACCCATGTGGACTGTTTTGGATTTTGCAGTATTTCAGATTTTGGAATGCCAAGTAAGGGATGCTCAATCCAAGGTTGTCATTTATTTATGTGTATGGCTATGTACATATATATGCATATATGTATGTGTACATTTTTGTAATGCTCATATTTTTGTGAGAAGGAGATGAAAAAGAAAATTTCTTGTGGCTTCTTGCAGTCATTTTAATAATGCTCTCTGTAGCTAGTAAAGCATCCATCTATGTGTTAATGAACATATTGAAAAAGAGGGCAGCTTGTTCTAGCATATAAGTATTGATCCATGCTCCTTCATTGCACTAAACTTTTAAAGTAAACCAAGTTCAAATGACTTGCCCATAGTTTTGCCAATGTTTTGCCAATGTTTAAAACTGGTATTTTGGTGCACATTTTTATTATCCATTTCATTTTGTCCAGCTGAGATATCTAATAAACTGTAATAATGGGCTACTTTTTCACTTCTTCTTCTTTTTTTTTTTTAAAAAAGTGTGTATGTGCGTATATGCCTTTGATTTGGTGTATCTGGATCAGAAGTCCATTTTCAGTTTGGACGGGGATCTTGGCTTTCTTTGTGCATTGCTCCTCTGAATCCTACAATGTTGGAACAAAATTGACTCCAGAGCCAATTTCTCTTGGCGAAACGTCAAAAGAAAATGCTGCTAGGATACAGCCATACAGCCCAGAAACCACACAGCACTCCAATGTTATAGTGCTCTCTCTAGAACACCTTTTGCATCTGAAAAATCCAAGCCCCATCTCTCCCCTCCTCTCTTGCCTGGACATTTTAAAATATAATGTTGTAACTGGTGAAACTGCATTATGTCACTTAATGGCAAAATTGGCTCTGTATATGAAACAAGGATTCTCTAGAATTATGTTTTCATGTTTTTATCACACATAAAATGTGCCAGAATACTTTTGAAAAATTTATTTTTATTATATTATAAGCCAGTCAAAATACAGCTTGTGTATGCAGCAGAAACCAGGTGAATCTCTTCTTTTCAATTCAATGCCAGCTTTGCATATGTCAGTTCGTAAGTCCATTCAGCCCTATGTTTTGTATGACTTTGTATTTTTTTTAAAAAAAGCAGGGAACATTTATCGCTTTTTAACCAACCAACCCCCCTTCTAATTTGCCTAAAATAGAGGGTTTTGGCAAACTATTTTCCATAATTCAATAATATTACAAAAGTTGCAGAAATCTGCATTTCAAAGAATAATAATGTTTTGGTCTATGAATTTGTTGGGAAATATGAGTTATATCACTTTGCTTAAAAATGACTGAACTAAATTCTTCTCCAGTTTTAACATAGATTATAAGTGGATTTAGTCTAAAGCAAGTATGTACAAATGATTGTACAAGAAACTTAGAACTTTATGCTATTGAACAGGTAAAATGTACTGGAAATGTCCTATCATCCAATGTGGAACAGTGGCTTTTGTAGGTGGGAGGAGAAAGAAGTCATGAAGAAGTATGGAAACAATTAATCAGTGAATCTAATACAAACTTGGGCCAAGAACAGAGGCAAGAAAGCATAGTACTGGCAAGACCTCACCGCACCCCCCCCCCCCTGCTTTTTTTTCCCTACCAGGAGCACCGTGCCAGACAATTTTATTTCCCCTTTAGAGAATAGAATGGGTGAGGCTGTTAATTTCTGTGAAGTCAATAACTCTTAATTGGTTGTATTCTTGAGATTTTTGTTTTGTGCAACTTGATAGATGATATATTTAAAATATGGAATGCATTAAAATAGAACTGGTATGTGATTTTGCCAAATGAATGTTTCAAAATTTTAAAGGAAAGGGGTACTGCCAGTGTATTCTTTGAGATCAGAACAAAAGAGATAAATTACTCCTTTATGTTGGGTAATCATCCTGATAGATCAGTGTAAATCTTGTTTTTCATTTCCTCTTCCTCCTCTTCCTCTTCCACCTCCTTCTCTTCCTCCTCGTGGAACTTTTCTTCTTCCCCATCTTCCTTTGAAGTCCCAACTGCAGAATAATAACAAACTCTATGAGGCCACTTGACTCCAGGCATTGGATGAAAATGAGAGCAGCTTCACAAACTATCTTTCTTTATTTTCCTGAGTTGCATTTTTAAAAAATCAGGATTGCACAGTTTTCCCCCTGTCCCTAGAAAGAATCATTGCAACACAATTTTTAAAAACCTTTGATTTAAGCAATGGCTGCAAATCACTGAGTGGATCAGGCCACACAAGCAAAGCTACAGAAGAATGCCGGGCTTATTGCATACTTTTTCAGCCACTCTGTACATCAAAGAAAGTACCAAAGAGTCTCCCTCTAGCAATGAAAGAGGACATAGAAAAGGCTAGGTAGGCTCATAATTAGCTATCTTTAATACGTCAATCCCTTTGAATCCCTATATCGGGAGAAAGAAGGGATAAAAATAAATAAATACAGTTGGCTTTAGGATTCACTGTTTGAAGTAGAGATCCAGTATTACATGCATGAACTTCTGTTCATGCACCAGAATGTCTTTTTCCCCATTTCTCCTAACATGCTCCACATTCGTCCCGAATCTGATCTGGATTGCCCTTGAACCCCTAGTATTTCACCATTTGGAGAAATGAAAGTGTCCACTAGCATCCATTAGTTTATCTCAGCAAAAAAATACTAGTCAGGTTTACAAGTGTACTTTCCTCATGTAAAAACATAGTGCACTGTGGGATCAAGTGATGGCTTACATTTTTCAAATCAGGCATCATAGATCACACAACCTCTTCATCACATTAAGAAGCAATGTTTCTAGGTAAAGGTAAAGGTTTGCTCTTGACATTAAGGCTAGTCGTGTCCGACTCTGGGGGGTGGGGCACATCTCCATTTCTAAGCCAAAGAGCCAGTGTTGTCTGTAGACACCTCCTAGGTCATGAGGCCGGCATGACTGCATGGAGCGCCACTACCTTTCCACAGAACTGGTACCTATTGATCTACTCACATTTGCATGTTTTTGAACTGCTAAGTTGGCAGAAGCTGGGGCTTACAGAAGGGTCTCACCCCGCTCCCCGGATTTTAACCTCTGACCTTTCAGTCAGCAAGTTCAGCAGCTCAGTGCTTTAACCTGCTGCACCACTGTGGGCTCCTAGCAATGCTTCTACATAGGACAAATCTAGAGGAATTAACTGTGAATTAATTATTTGCATCCTATGATTGGCTTTGCATAAAAATAACCTCATCATGTAGTTCTTCTACTCAAAGTCAGTTAAAATGTGTTACTGAAAAACATTAAGACATAATCAGGTGCTGGGGAGATGTTTGTCTGATCAGCATTAAAATCTAAATACTGGACTTGATTGACTTTAGGATGTAACAGCAATGCAGTGCTAACATTCTTATATTCATCACTGTCCTGCTGAATATTGTTCTATAATGTAACTACTAATTGTGAAGACATAATCTGTCACTATTGGTATCCTTAAGGACAAAAACTTTGGCTTTTTATTCAGAATATAGCCCTGCTCATAAATCCTGCCTTACCAATGTATTTATTTTTCCAAGAACATTGTAACAAATCTGAAGTCATTTATAGTACTAATCAGCATCTGGTAGATAATATAAGACAAAAGAAGGAACAATATGTGGGTTGGAGACAAGCCTATCACATAACAGAGCAGTTTGTGCCTCTGTGACTACAGATGGTAAAGCTAACCATTTTGATCTCACTGGTAACTCGCTTTTTTTACTTTGCTTTGTGTTTCTGTTTTGTAAATACCATTTTAAATCCAATGCAAATGCTGAGCACCATTTCTTGTGCCTGAAGTCTTATTAGCAGGGTCCAGCAACGTGATAAAATGAAGCTTGAAGATTGGCAATGAAAGGCAATGCTGAAGGCTCTGCTCCCATGCTTGTGTCTACTGTATTGGGAATCACTGGAATAGCGAGACCGGTTTGGGTTCAAGGTCACTGCTGACATTCAGCTGTCATGGCTTTATTGTCTGCATGCCTTCTCTCCCTCGAAACATTCATGAGTACTATATTGCAACCACAAAGAACCAGTCAATTGATACCATTACACTTCATGCACACATAAACCACAACTCTGTTCAGAACATTTGATACAGTCTAACATGTATTCATTAGTCGAGCCACTGAAACCGCAACTTGCCAAACCTCACTTCTGACAACACAGATATATAATAGTTTAGTGTAAACTTTTTAGTTTTCTTTTTCTTTAGTTTATTTGCACAACCCACTTTCGTTGAAATAACATAATCTGCATTTTAATCCTGGGCTCTATGGGGGAAAATGTCTTAGAAGAATCCAGCCATTTATGTCTCTTGGAAATGGATGCAGCGAAAGAAGGATAACATTAGATAGACACATTAGATAGATATGTGTATGTAAAGAAAGAAGGGGTACTTATTTGGGCTGTGGATGGCATAGAAAGCCAATTGCTTAGAAATGAAATAGGAGTGTGGAGTGAAAAGAAGGAAAACATAAGCTTGGGTCAGGGAAGAGGCAGTGATTAGCTCCATTGTTCGGGCCTCCTTGAGCTTCATTGGGTCTAAAGAAAAAATCACTAATGAATCTATTGAAGCTTGCCAGAACTTTGTATTGAAGACAAGTTAAGTTATGACGCTTCTCTAAGACATGGTAGTAAAACATGTTGAAACCGAAAACAGAGCATGTGTCTCGATTTAAACTTTACTCACAGAAACTTGCAAATAACTTTTGTGGGGATTTTATCATACACATTTGCTGTATTTTTTATGCACATCCCCTTACACTAGAAAATCAAATGAGCAGTGACCCAATTAAATCAATTTTCGGAAAGTATGAAACATAGCAAGCATCTGTGTAATAATCTAGCTGCTAATCAGAAGGGAAATGCTGGGGACCAATGCTTATTCGGTCAGCTTTACTTTTGGTAGCTATGTAGTAAAGACTTTTATTTGATTAATTCTTCAACTAGCGTCCTTGGACTCTTTTAAAAATGTTTCTGGTTTATTTATCAAAATATTGCCTCTAGATAAATGCAGCATTCATAAGGTCGCTAAATAAAATTGTGTATCAAAACTAAAAATAAAGTTGCAATCCTAAACACAAGTGCTAAGGACATTAAACCCAATGATGGCTTTCAAGTAAATGTATCTAAAGATCGTTATGTTAATGATTTTATTGGAAATATGCAGTTAAATGTCTCTGGCATTTACGCATGTGAAATACACTAGAATAACTTCGGGTCAAAACTCTCAGTTTTATTATCACAGTAATGTTATAGCAGAAACAAACAAGGATGAAGAAAACTTTTCATACACTGTCATCTCAGTGTGTCTGAGCTTTGATGGGTAGACCACCTCTCTAAAGGTTATAAGGTTGCTGAGAGAACCAACAAGGGGGGCAATTAGTGTCAATTAGTATGGTGCTTTGGAGTCACTGAATAGCTTCCCTTGGTCACATTTTGACCACTTGATCCAAAATCCCAGAAGTAGGTAAATGCTATGGCCAGTTATTCTAGCATCCAGTACAATACTTGGTGGCTAAGAATTTGCTTATTGTGGAAACTACAGAAACTACAGTATTAATCAGCCCCTTGAAAATGCAAGTTTGTTATTAATGTCATTGTTTGATATCGAATATACACTCATAGAATGATTAACTGAGAAAAAGACATTTCCAGCATAATTTCTGTGGACCTCCAACCACTTTATCGGGAGCTTATGATGATGTAGACGAGAATCCACAAAAGTTAAGGATAGAAATGTGTTTTAGTTTCTAAACTGTCACAAGATTCCTCCATATTTTCTTCCTCTAGTTGCCAGTTATCAATCAGTCTGGTTGCCATAATATTGGTTTTTTTATATATTTAACTGCAACCCAGCTTTTGCACTTGCTTCTTTCACCTTGGTTGGAAGGCTCCTCAGCTTCTCCTTGCTTTCATCCATCAGTGTGGTATCATCTGCATATCTAAGGTTGTCAATGTTTCTTCCAGCAATTTTACTCCAGCCTTGGATTTGTCAAGCCCCACAAAACAAATGATGTGTTCTTCATACAAATTAATAGGTTGGCTGAGAGTATGCAGCACTGCTGTACTCCTTTCCTTCCTGCTCTATTAATAACTTGCCGTGCTATTAATGCCAAATATATAAATCTGTTTTTTCTTTCTTTCAAAGAGAACAACATTTGTTCTTTCAAAGAGAACAGCAGGTATTCAGATTGGCACCTTATACTGGTTCTCTAACTGAAGAACAAGTTGCCCATTTGAGAATATACAAAAGACAAAAACAGGTAAAGTGACATTTTTGATTGGACAACTTTATGTTGCTAACATTTAGCCCACTTTTGCATAGTAGTAATCTAAATATACACAGAACCATACATTAAAAAGAGTGGAAATAATCAGGCAGCTATAATGGGGTCCTTTCCTTCTGGTCTTGGAACCTATGCATGGTCAGCCATGGTTACTAGTACTTGGATAGGAGGCTGTTAATGAATACCAGGTGCTGTAAGCTATATTTCAGAGGAAGAAAGTGGCAAACCATCTCTGAGGATTCTTTACTTAAGAAAACTCTATGTAATCCATAGGGGATGCCATAAGTTGACAGGTGATGTGAAACCAAATACATCCAATACAGCTTAGAGGCCTTCAACTGATGAGTGTGGCAACTGGCAAGTGATGGGGATAGTGGATAACAGAAAAGCATGGATATGTTGGCTCACACCAGGTTGAACCTACTCACTGCAACCTCTCTCTCTCTCTCCCTTTTCCTCCTTCCTTCCTTCCTTCCTTCCTTCCTTCCTTCCTTCCTTCCTTCCTTCCTTCCTTCCTTCCTTCCTTCCTTCCTTCCTCACTTTTCCTCCAGCTCTGGGATCCAAGACAATCTTCAAAGATTAAATCATATGTAAACATCGATCCCAGCATTAAATTATAATCAATCTACCATTTGAATTAAAAGCATTTGACAGACTTACCCTTTAAAAAAGAAAGAAACGGGAATAGTAGAGCGCTTTCCCCATAAACAGTCAATTCCCAAAGGCCTGTCAAAACAAACAAAAAAGTCTTCATCTACTATTGGAAGGACACATATTTATTTGTTTAAATATTTTTGTACATCTCTTCAGCATACACTGTATATATTGCAGTAAAACACAGTTTCATAAAACAGATGTCTACACCTGACTTAATATTAAATGGAGTTGCAACTGGAACTTTAAAAAAAATTGGACAACAGCTCCCAAATTCTTCCAATCTCCATGGCCTGTGACCTTGGTAGTGGGCAATTTGGGAAGTTGTCATCCAAAAATGTAGCTCACCCAAGATCAGGCTAGGATGCCCAGGGAAACTGAAACAGTTTCCTTTTTGTAATTTAGTTAGTTTATAGTCATAAAGTGGCTACTTGAACTATCCATTACTGGCTATGCAGTCTCATTTTGTTATTTATTATAAAATGGTGCTAGTTCCCAAGTAGAGTCATACAGCGGAGGGGAAATATCAGTTTTCTCCTTGTGGTTTGTTAGGGCTGTGGTTTCAGAGAGCTTGAAAGACCAAATTGTGGATAGTAATGTGTGTCTCTGGGTGTTAGCTTTATGTTTCATACATGAAATGATGCTTATGGCAGACCAGAACATACCCTCTCCCTTGTGCAATTAAATCATTTAAGTCTGAGGTCTCAAATAGCGTGCATTCATCACTGAGTGGAAAGGCACTGATGATAAATGGAGCATTAATACACAGCCTCTGTCAACTATACAATAGTAAGTGTCTGTGTAAACTCCTCAATATTTTATTCCAAGGATGTTGTAATCTGAAGTGACTAGCATCTCAGTCCCATAAGAGGTTTGTTGTTGCAATAGGGCACATATAGCCTGTGAAGATATAGCCTATGTCTGAGCAAATTGGACCAGGTTTATCTTGTATAACATATACCACCATCATGGTTGCTTATCATGTTTATCATGCAACTGAAAATCAGCTTGCGTTCCATTCTTCCTTATGTGCACCTAAGCAGAAGTAATTAAAAGTAGTGCACTGAATTCAGTAGGGTTTACATTGTGTTCAGACAATATCCTATTATGAGTCACTCTAGATTAGGTCTACTGAATCCACTGGATTTTTCTTTATATTGACCAAATATTCAATATTTATTCAATAGATCTCATCTAGTTGGGATTAACTAATAGGACCCACATTTTAATCTCCAGGAGCGACAAACCAGCAGTCCAAAGCTATCTAAATATTAAACAACTATTTGCAAACAGAATTATATTCCTAGCTCTAACTGAGTTTAAGGATTACTACAACATAAGAAAGAGAATGCAATTCTTGTGACTTGTTCCATCTTATACTGTCTGCCAGTCCTATAAAAAATAAATGCTTGCCACTATCCATATTGCCCCCTGCCAAGTTGAAGCTGTTTTCATATGTGTAGGGAAGGATGCCAGCCCAAACATCTAACCATCTCTAGTGGGCATCACAACTAACCAGGACTGTGGAGTCAGTATGGCAAACTTTTGACTTGGACTCATTTATCTTTCTACTGTCTTGTGTTTTCCTCTGACTCCAACCCACACACTAAATGACAAAATTAATAAGAAATGCAATCCCAAATTAGTAATAATATATTTATTGCATTAGAATGACAATACAAGAAATGTTATCACCAGTACGTGAATCATCAAGCAACACTGAGCATAAAATACATTTACTTGACAGAAATTTCTGAACAAGGAAACACCCCTAGACTCCCATGGAAGTAAATATGCTATGAACTAGGCCTTTCATATAATTGAAACTGGAGTCAGAGTTGGCACAAAGAATTATAATAAGAGTTATTACTGATTTTGTTAGATATTTTTTGAATTAGCATGGTTGTTTGAGGCTGGGAAAGGATACAAAGCCTGAGAATGGGCTGGGAGAGTGAAATTTTCTCTATTATTAATCTGTTTACATAATTTCCCCAACTTTGGGAAAGAGATAGTCCATGTTTGTGCACACTGCCTTTCTTTCTTTTCTTCCATACTACATTACCCTTGAGAGTCCATTTTTATTTATCTCTCCCTAGAAGGTTGTACCATAGTCCAGGATCTCCCCGTTTAGCCAATGACGTGCAATTGGAATGTTATCCAGGGATAGTTTGGGTAGAATTAGTTGTTTTGGTATCCATTTCTACTATTGGTTGTGGGGGGTGCTGAACCCAAGACCACTTACACTGCAGAATTATAGCAGTTTGACAACTGTCATGGCTCCATCCTATGGACTTGGAATCTATAATTTTTGTGGTATTAGAGCTCTCTGATAGAGAATGGTAAATATCTTACAGTACTACAAACCCCAGAATTCCATAGCATTGGGCTATGACCATTAATGTGGACTGAAATTGCTATAACTCTGCAGTGTGGATGCAGGCTCCATCAGCAGAAGGTCTGAAATGCTTCCTTTGCTTTATAATATATGCTGCATCTTTTACAATCAATAAAGTTTATGTTTTAGCAGTAATGTTTGCCTGGATTCTGCACTAAGTGAAGTGTTGGGGAGGCCTAAAGCCATACCCAATTCCTGCATAGAAGAATTGAGAGCTGTTAACAAAGTGAAAGTATGACGCTAACACCAAATCCTAAAAGGAGAAGGAGGAAATGATATTAACTCTAAGCATATCAATCTGATTGTAGCCGGAGTTGCAGCCCGTCGCTTCCAAGCCAAGCCAGCTATGCTAGTCCTGTCATTGAAATCTGAATGTTTTCTAAACCAAACTTGAACATTCAAACTTGGAGCCTCTTGTTTCACTAAGACAACATTGAACATCTATTGAACGGATTACTGATTATATTTCTTTCAAGTAATCACAGCAAAGTCATGTTCAGATATTATTAGAGAAAGGTTAATTAATCAGAGATAAAGAACTAACTTTTTGAGGCAAATGCATAACTGCAATTAGACTGGATTTTCAGTTGTAATAGTACAATTTCATGTTGATAAAAATCAGACATTTCAATTCCAGTTTCTTGTTCTCTTGGAAAATAGGCATAATCTTTTCATATTGACTAAGGTAAAGAATGCTCTCTTGCAATTTGCATTTTTGTTCCCACCTTAAAACGAAGGCAGAAAATTGTATGATATGTCAGCTTGAGAGACTTTTCCACCCACCTTGCATTGTATTGCAAAAGTTCATGTATTATACCTGGTTCATGATTGGCTGTTTATTGAAGGAGTATGGCAGCTCACCTGCTTAAATAACCAAGTTGCCATTGAGAAATTATGGTTTGTTTGAGGCCCCTGATGTACATACACACACCTACTCCTTCTATTTTGTTATACGAAAGTGTTATTTTTTAAACATTGTTTTGCTGCAAACTTGTAAACTGTTTTGATTATAACTGATAAAAAGGAGGGAAGAATCTTCAGAATAAATGCTATAATAAATTATAATACCAGACATTTACTTTAAAAAATCCTACATGTATGCCACTGTCATGGCTTCAGTGTTGGATAGGACTTCTGAGGATAACAGATTTTGCATGACTGCATCTTCCCCTATGAACCCATGCAATCTCTAAGATCTTTTGGGGAGGCTCTTTTCTCACTCCCACCCCCATCTCAGGCACAGTTGGTAGGGATGAGAGAGAGGGCTTTCTCAGTGGTGGCCCCTCGGCTCTGGAATTCCTTCCCCAGGGAGATCAGGCTAGCAACCTCCCCAGCCACGTTTCGTAAGGAATGAAAGATGTGAATGTTCCGTCGTGCATTTGATTAAACAATTCCCTTGACAGTTGGCCCTAATCCATGGCCTAAAAATATTATGTCCCTGTACTTTACTACTGCACTATTTAAAGTCGTAATGTGCCTGTTATAACTGCTCTTACCTGCATGCTGATACATGATCTATGCACGTTATTGATTAGCCTATTTTCTAACCTGTTTGCACACCAGCCCGCCCTCCCACACTGAGACTTGAAGTATGTCCTTGGTTGTTGCTTATGATGATTGTTTTATTATTGTTGTAATGTTGTATTATGCTGTTTTTTATTATTGTTATATTTTATATGCTATGTTTTTAACTCTGTGTGATTGGGCTTGGCCCCATGTAAGCAACCCCAAGTCCCTTCGGGGAGATGGAGGCAGGGTATATTATTATTTGAAACACAACAAGATGAGTCCACAGCAGACAAGATAACTTTGCTGGCTGTTATATTGGATCACACATCGGACACTTCCCAAGTGTCTAAGACTGTGTGATGTATCGGCGAATGATACGTGCAGATCCCAGTAAGATGGCCTTCTGTAGCTGGCAGATGGTAATTTTGTCAGCGCCGATTATTATCATCATCATCATCATCATCATCATCATCATCATCATCATCATTCTTATCTTTGGATGAGAAAATTGTGTTTCTGAGGTTACTCACAATACATGGCTGTCTTTGCAGCCCTCACCTTCTCTGCCTCTCTTGGGTTGTCCTTTCTGTGGCAAAAATGGTAAATTGTCTATATTGGAAGTTCCAAGAAATGATTATTCATATTTCAAAAGTGAGGGGCTACGTAGCCCCCTTGCATTTTTAGCCTTAAAATCCCATTTTTAGAATCTATCTGTATCATATAATGACAACAGTCTGTGGAATTCCCTGAGGAATTCCCTTTGGGCTGAGAAAGGCGGTATATAAATATGGTAAATAAATAAATAAATAAATAAATGGTATCCAAACCTCCCTAAGTTGTTTGCCCTGCTTGATATAAACTTATAAATATCTGGTTGGATCTTGTAATAGTTAAGACATAAATGTAATTATTAACCTCAAATAAGATAATCCTGGTGAATCAATGACATCAAGACATTTTCAGGTTGCCCTTGAGGATGTAGGAAAGGAGAGACAACCTATACTCCCAGTGCAGTTAGACTGTTCCTTCATTCCTTGAAACTTGAAATCAGTGGCAATGGAGATGGAGAGATGGAGTTAGGTTAGTAGCCCCTGCCTAGATTTGCACAAGGTCCAATAAATTGCATATACAGGCATAATTCCCAGTTCTATCCCCATCAAACACCAAT